GCACAAATCAGAGAGCTCACTCTTTCTCTCCCTCTAAAGTCTAAACCTAGTTCCTCTAAAATTTTCTAATTCTTTAATCTTTTGATCCCCAATTTCCCATTTTTCATCGCCTAAGATTCACTCATCCTGTAAAGTTTGGCGTTTCGTGACTTTCATCTCAGAAGACACTCCATTGCAGGTATTTTTTTTTTTTCCTAATTGATACTCACACACACATGACACATATCTCTTTTGAGACTAAACCCCTCTTTTTGAGAAATCCAATAGGGTTCTTTTGCAATTACATGTCTTTGATTAAATCTCATTTGGATTTTTAATTTTTATTGCTCTTTGGAATTTATTCATTGAAACAGCAGATGGGTTCGTTGATACTACTGAATTTTCTGTTCTTTTGTCTTTGTTCTGACAATTTGTTGAATAAAGTCTTTGATTTGAGATTCTCTATATAATATATATATATATATATAGACAGAGCCGCAGAGGTTAATGGTTATGAACTGTGGTTTTGGTACTGTGATAAACTGATAGTCTGATTGTTGACTCAATTTGGTCTTTAGTTATCGACTCTTTATATATTTAATATTTTGTGTATTTGACAATTTTGTTGAATAAAATCATTGATTTGAGTTGTTTATGACTTTATCACATGTATATATAGGTAGAGGTATACTGAATTACTGATATAGACATATAGTGATATACATATTTTGAGTAATTTAGTCTCTTTCTCTTTCTTCACTTCTATTTTGTCCTAACCCTTCTCTTGAAAAAACCACGCACATAGTCCAGAGGAATTGAGAAAAGCCGAGTCTCGGCGAAGTTTTAGCTCGCTCAAATTTCAGGCACCACAAAGGTGTGCTTTACTGCTTTAGATTCAACTATATACATTTTCATATGTGTGTTTATATATAATTATATTTGTGTAGAGATAAATGTTTGAAAGCATATAAACGATCAGCTTATAATTTTTGTATTTGGTGAATATAGGTAACTTTTGCCATTGATTAGTAGAGAATAGAATTTGGGTCACTTCATTGTTGATATTTCTAATTTATTACCTGTATTTGTTTATTGCAATTCATTATTCACTCCTCATGGTTGTTAAATTTGATTTAGGTATTTTTAATTTAACTCCTTCTTTAATTTTATTAGGTTAAAAATAATAATGGCTCAACATCAACCGCCAAACAAGAAAGTAAAAAGTATGTCTATTCTCTCATTCTATCAAAAGAAAGGCCGAATGAGCGATGATTATCAATCGAAAAAGGATATACCTAATGCATCTAACATTGACAATGATCTTAATTCACAACCTCCTACCCTACCTCAAGTTGTTGAACCCAAGCAACTCCACTCCACTTATATTGAAAGAGATCCCGGGTTACGTATTCAAATACATGAATACCCAGTGAATCAAAGGGATGAGGTTAGATGAACTTATATCAATTTGGGGCCTTATCAACCTAAACTTTCCAATTATCCTAACTCTTAGGATGGAAGGCAGAATCAGCGATTTAAGTATGAATGGTTCCAACAATTTCCTTGGCTAGAATATTCTCCTTCAAAAGATAAAGCATATTGTTTTCCATGCTTTCTTTTTTAAGAGAGAAATATAACAGGGTGCCGTTCTTCACTTATTGATAATGGATATAAGAATTGGGAGAAAGTTGGTGATGGAGATAATTGTGTATTCTTGAAACACATGGGATGTCAATCTTCACCACATAGAAAATGTGCCATGCTTTATGAAAATTTAAATAAATCGGCACAACATATTGATAAAGTGTTGAATGCCCAATCAAGAGAAGATGTTTTGAAGAATCGAATGCGGCTTAAGGCAACTATTGAAACTGTTCGCTTCCTAACATTGCAAGGAATTGGTTTTAGAGGCCATGATAAAAGTTCAAGTTCATTAAATAGAGGGAATTTTATTAAAGCGTTGAAGTATAAAGCAGAAGGAAATGATGAAATCTCAAGTGTTATCTTGGACAATGCTCCACAAAATGCCCAATACATTGCTCCATCGACTCAAAAAGAGATTCTTCATATTCTTGCAAATAGAGTGAGAAAAATGATTTGTGATGAAGTTGCGGGAGGCAAATATTGTATTCTTATTAATGAAGCACAAGATGAGTCTAAAACAGAGCAAATGGCTCTTGTTAGCATGTTGGTGTGCTAATGGAATGCTTTTTTGACATTGTGGGAGTTAAAAACACATCAGCAGTGACGCTTAAGGATGCAATATCTGGTATTCTATCTCGGTTTGATCTTTCAATTCAAAATTTGAGAGTTCAAGGATACGATGGTGCGAGTAATATGCACGGCGAATAGAATGGTCTATAAGCATTGTTTCTTAAAGATTGTCCATTTGCTTATTATGTCTATTGTTTTGCTCATAGATTACAACTAGCACTAATTGCAGCAGCAAAAGATGAGCCAAAGATTTGGCAATTCTTCTCTCACTTGACTTGTATTGTCAATCTTGTTACTTCCTCTCCCAAGCGTGTTGGTGAATTAAAATCTTCTCAAAGGGATGAGATTGCACGTATGTTGAACACAGGTGAACGTTAATCTGGTAAAGGGGCTAATCAGATTGGCACCTTGCATTGAGCTGGAGCTACTCGTTGGAGTTCACATTATGATTCTATTAGGAACTTGATTGATATATATACTGCATCCTGCACAGTTGTTGAAAGTCTTAGAAAGGGTGGGCAAAATCAACAGATACGTGGGCAAGCTTTAGGTGTTTACAATGCAATAAGAAGTTTTGAATTTATATTTGTCTTGCACCTAATGGATAGCATTATGGGATTCACGGATGCACTTTGTCAGGCCTGGCAACATAAATCTCAAGACATTCAGACAAGATGATTGGGATATTTTCCTTGCAAATGTGGTGTCATTTTGCAATCGACATAACATTGATATACCTGATTTGACTTCTCGTTATGTAGAGGGTACTGGTCGTCATTGTCAGCAACAAGATAATATTACAGTTGAGCACCATTATCACTTTGATATTTTCGACTCTGTAACAGATTTACAGCTGATGGAGTTAGACTATAGATTCAACAATGAAGTAGTGGAACTTCTTACTCTTAGCTCAGCTTTGGATCCTAGTGATTCTTTTAAATCTTTTAATGTGGAGAATATTTGTAATCTTGTTGAGAAATTCTATCATTGGGACTTCACTCACCAAGATCTTAAAGTATTGAAGATTCAGCTGATGCATTATCAACTTGATGTACCTAGTGATATCGAGTTTCAAAATACTTCTTCTCTTACAGATTTATGTAGGAAACTAGTTGTGAGAAGGAAATCCAAGTGCTACCTTTTGGTTGACAGATTAATCCGTCTTGTGTTGACTCTTCCCGTTTCTACAGCAACTACGGAGAGAGCATTTTTCAGGCATGAAACGTGTTAAAATAGCGATGCGTAGCACAATGGGAAATGAATTTCTTGTTGATTGCATGACCGTCAACCTTGAATGGGACCTTGTTTGGAAAATTAACTTGGAGTCTATTATCGATGAATTCGAGTCTTTAAAAACTCAACGAGCACAACTTAGATAGATATTTTGTAATCTTTGACTTCAAATATTTATCTAGATTATGTTATAAAAAAAAATTTTGCTTATGAAATTGTGTTGTTAAATTTATGTTCAATACTAGCCCCCCCATTGACAATTCCTGGATCCGCCCTTGGTAATATTTTTTTCATACTTCTTCAATCTTCTTGAATATTCTGTTCAACATTTTTGAGCTATGTACCAATTGACTAATAATATATTTATTGTTACAAATGTTTTCACTATGAAAATTCTTATAATATATATATATATATATATATATATATATATATATATATATATTATATATATATATATATAGATATGTTTTTTCTTTTGTTTAATAAAAAATGATAGAAGAGACGAATTTTTAGGTTTTTCAAAATTGTGAAAAAAATTCTCTAGATTGACTCCAATTGGATTATGAGGTTTGATATTGTGAATGGAGCTCGCTGTTAAACATCCGACTCGGTACCATTTTAAAAAAAATGTATGCAGGTCCGCTGTAATGTGCAGGCTGATCCATTCATTTAAAGCAAAATTTGTGCTTAATAAAATACAGTACAATAGATATTTGATTTATTAGCAATCCTTTTGTAGAGCATTCGTAGAGTATTGTTTGATCTATCAGCAATTCTTTTATAGAGATCAAGAGTAAACATGAGGTCGAGAGCTGTTGGATGGGAGAGTTACAAAGTTTTTGGTGGAACGATAGAGTGTAAGCTTGAGTCAAAGTGAACTATACTTTGCTTCAAACATAGTGGATCGTTTCGCTCGAGACAATGGAATCTCTGAGATTTTTCTCATAATGATTTAAAAATCTTGCTGTCATCTCTCAAAATTTATTTACTTTAATTGCACTTTATTTTTGCTTTATGGGTTGATTAATTTATTTTTATTTTGATAAATTTAATTTAAGCAAAAATAATATAAAAGGGCAAGTTGAAACTAATACCTATTAAAATAGGGAATATAAGAGCTATACTACAATTAGGTCAACCACCTAACATAAATAACCAAATCTCTATTAAGCACAGGATAAGATTCTTTTGAATTTATCTATATTCATGAATATCTAGATTCTTTTTAGTTCAATATTGACTAATAAGAAGGGCTTATGGCTCTTATACCATGGCTCCTTTGTGTGTGTGTTGTTTAACTGTTTTAGAGGTCTATTGAACTTAATAAAAAAGCTAAGCTTTTGAGATCAAAACACCTTAAAATTTTGATTTAAAAACACCAATGAGTGAACTCTTTTCTTTATTCAATAATCTATAAGATTCCATATATCTGTTCTTATTTTACCTTTCAACATTGTTATATATATTATAACCATAAAATTACATTCTTAATAATAGATAAACTAACATTCCAGGCTTACACAGGAATTGAAAATTCCATCCAATGCTTCCTACCTTCTGGTCTTAATATCTTATTCACCAGCTGAAGGATGATAAGCAATAGGAATCACACACAAATCTCTTTTCTTGTTAACTGTTGCACCAAAAACCTCATCCATATCAAGATCTTCTAGCTTCTGTCCCTCGAGAAGTTTCCAGTCAAAGTGATATAATAAATTCGCAAGTGCAAGCTCAACTTTAGCAATCCTGAATGATATGCTAGGACATATTCTCCTTCTAGCACCAAATGTTAGATATTGAAAATGATTTCCCTTGTAATCAATTGAACTATAAATGAACCTCTCTTGAAGAAAGCGCTCGGGATCACTCCAGTTTTCAGGATTGATACTAATAGCCCGTACATTAACTATTACTTGAGTTTTTGCAGGTATCTCATATCCATCAATTTCACATCTCTCTTTACTCTCTCTTAGAACTAATAAAGGGATAGAAGGGTATACTCTTAGAGTTTATTTGATAACTAACTTAAGTAACTCAATTCAAGTATGTCTTCTTGATTAACAATATTTCCTTTTTTTACATAAAACTTGTCTCACCTTAGTGCCTTTTTCATAACCCTTGGGTTTTTCAGCAATTCTGACATTGTCCATACTAAAGTTGTAGATGATGTGTCAATCCCGTCAATGAACATGTCCTGGAAGAGCATTGAAATCGAGTTAAAAATAATTTGTGGAAGTTAATTCATTGATATTGATAGAAGCAGAAAGTAAATGTACTGACCAAAATAGTGCACTTGATGTCTGTCATACTTAAGGGGATCTCAAGATTACCCTCCTCCTGAAGTCTTAGAAGAACATCTACCAGATCTTCATGACTAGCTTCACCGTCACTGGTATGTGTTGATGCCTTCCGAGCTTTATATTCATCAATGATGTTGGTCAACACCTTTATCAAGATTTTGATGCATTTTCTTGAGTCTAGGTAGGTGGCGGGCTACGTCGTCCTCCTACCACAAGCTTAGAAAGTGTGCGCATTAAGGCGAGGGCCAAGTTTTACATTTATAGAAGCCACTACTACCTTCACTAAAAATATAGTTAGGGCGAGTAGGGATCGTCCCAAGGGATTGGAGTCGAATTTGGTTGTGGAATCGCTATTAGGGTTAGTAGGTCGAGAGATCAAACAAGTGGTTGGTTGGTTGATTAAACTAGAGAGCAAATAAAGCTAAATAATTGAATACAATAAGGAGTAAGTAAGAGAGAGAGAGATCTTGGGGTTTAGAGGTCACCATCGAACAATACTTTTCTACACCCTTAACAAGTGACTAATGAGGGAAATGTGTGTTGCAATATTGATGTGTGTGTGTGTTAGGTTGATTCAATTAGCAAGGGTAACCAATTAAGCATACATTGTCTAATCAACATGTGAAAGACACAATATATCTATCAATTAAGTATATAATGTCTAAATAGCATGTGAAAAGCACAATATATCTAGCAAGTCATTAATCCTTTCATTAAGTTCACAAGCCAAATACACCACAAGGTTAGAGACATATGCTACTTGCATTCAAAAGTATGGAACATCAAACAACAAGCATGGATTGTCCTCCCATCTAATAACTATACTACCACTACACTACAATTAAGTTAATCACATGAAATTAAACTAATTAAGCTAAGGGAGAGGCATAATCCATCAAGAAATGAGCATGAACCATCTAGAAAATTACAGGAGCATTCCTTTAAGCACAATGTTTTGGCAATCTCTATATCTATAGCATCAAGAAATAGAGACAAACACATGAACATCTATTCTAGCATACATAGACATATGGATAGAATGAAATGATCAATTGGAAGCATTAAACCACATAAATCATTGAATAAACAAGATCTATATAAATTAAAGTGCCAAAACATGTATTACAACACTAATCCCTCAATAATACACAAAATTAAGATGTAGAAAGCATGCTTGGGGCTAACTCTAGCCCCAAGAGGATATCTAGCCACTCATGGTAGTGCTTCTCCAATTGGTTGATGAAGAGTCTCTAATGGTGTCTCTAGCCTCCTCCTCCTCTAAGCTTGCTCTCTAAAAGTTCTTACAAGGTATGAGATGATATGATGTGATATGGTATGGTATAAGGTCCTCCCTTGTAAAAAGCAATCCTTAGCCTTATATAGGTAGGTCAAATGACACACAAAATGAGCTGGGGTCGTGTACCAAATATTCCCCAATGATTGGATAAAGGATAACTTTTAACGAGCTGGAAATTTAACTTTTTTGCACTGGAGGAAGTTCGATCGATCGAACCTTGGACTTAGATAGATCGAACATGGCTGAGATCTATCAAACTTAGGCTGGATCAATCTTCAATGGCGCCGCTTTTTGGATAAAGACAAATCTGAGATATTTTGAAGATATTTTTGGGAAAAGGACAAAAGTGGTTGGTAGGGTGGTATAACTAGATAAGATCAATCATTTAGATAAGAACAAGGTAGTTCGATCGATCGAAGAATGATGTTAGATCGATCGAACTTTTGAGATCTCGAAAAATGTCATCATGGCTCTGATCCATCTTGAAGTGCTAAGATCGATCATGTTGGATCAATCGAACTTTGATCTGAGATCGATCGAAGATGTTGATTTCCACATTTTTCTTCCTTTTGCTTCCACTTGGCTCATTTCTTTGATTCATCCCAGAATTGCTTCATTTCTGCTCTTATTTGACTGAGTTAGCTTATTTTCGGGATAAGTGCCTGAAAATGGAAATAATACAAAATTAATCTAAAACGGTAAAGTAAGATAGATAAAGGTACTAGAATGCCTAAGCTTAATGGGTTTAAATACGCACTTTTCAGTGCTCATCACACCCCCAAACTTAAATATTGCTAATCCGTAGCAATGAACTAGAAAGTAAAGGAATGAAATGAACAACTATACAACTATGAACTAGAAAACAATAAATGGATAATGCCACTTTCGTAGAGAACACGATTGCACTTAGCATATGCAACAAGCCTTTTAAACCCCTAGGTTACCCCTAGTGGACGAGTGAAGTCTCGTGAGGGTTTCCAGAAATGATACCCACAAACATTAAGCTCATTCTCACAAAAGAGACACCAATATTGCAAACAAGCATTGGGAGAAAACTACCTCAAGTATGCAAATTTTCAACCATTTCCAAGCAATCTCCCAAAATCTCAACATCAAGCAAGTAAGTATGGTCCTCCACACATCAAGAAAATGATCATGCAAATCAAAACAACTCTAGAATCCTTTTTGAGTGGACCGGCATCAAATATTTTGCTATCTTAGGAAACTAAAGAATTAATCATATCCTTACCCTCAAACTAGCGCACAAATCTAGTACCGATCATCAAGACAAAAAGTGGACCTTTTATTAAAGCTTTTTTGTTCTAGGTGCGCTTATTCGTTTCACTCATTTTTATTTTTATTTTTTATAGGATCAAAGATGGAAGTATAGTGCAATGTGTTAATCTATTAAGCTTTCTAGCGATTCATGAGGTCCAGCATTAGGTTAATGACTCCCAAACCAGACGGCTTTAGGGCATTAGGCGTTCAAACACTCCTACGGACTTACAAGCTCAAATTAACTAGGCTACAAATCAAAACAACCTCCATCAATCATTTCTCACTTCTTACCTTTTGGGAGAAGTCCTCACTTTTTTATTGCTTTTGCAACTTTTTTTTTTTTTTTTTTAATACATTTATTAACCTAGAGTTTGGACCCTCCACCTTTCGGAGCGAGAAGTTCAGTGCTTGATTAGGCTAGAATCCCGGCTACTTAGTGAAAGTGGGTTGTTATCCACCTTTATCAAGAATGAAAGCTTTCAATGCACTACTAGCCCAATTGGGATATAACCAATTCAATAATCAACAAAGCATGTACCCCACAAATGAATGCTAGTGTGCACCTATGCTAGTGTAGAATTCTAGAGTGAATCTCAAAACAATCACAAAATCAAGATGATGTGGACCACAAATGCAAGCAAGATATCAATCTTTCAAAAAATTTACTCCTAAATGGCTTCCACATGGCATACAAGGAGTATTGGACTCTCAAGTCAAGCAATTTTTAAATTTTAAGCAATATAGTCCTCAAAAGATCAAAATCATAGCTAGATATGGACCAATCATAGAAAATCTCTCAAATACACAAGTCATGCTCAAATTTTGAATTTAAAAGCAAACACTGTAACTTACACCGTTACCCCCAAACTTAAACGGCACAATGTCCTCAATGTGCAAAGAAAACAAAAGGAAAGAGTATACTGGTGAAATTAAGGCAAAGAATGGCTGGGACTGAAGTATCCAGAGTGGGTAGCATGGCCCCCCCAAACTTGGGATTAACTGTGGTCTTGAAATTTGGCACTCAGATAAACTCATCAGATAACAAAAAGGGATAATCAGTGCACAGTGGACATGTAAGTGTAAATGAAATAAAACAGTGAGAGAGGTATAAGGGTGGTCCTGAAAATCGGGTAGCACTCTCTCACTGAAGTCGCTGTGATATACCTGATGGAGTCAAGCATACAGATATAAGAATATAACACATGACATCCATAACAAAAGCATATATAAATAAAATAGAGTACTGGATACATCAAAAGATCAAAGCCGATAGACCGGCTGCAAATATAATAATGTAGTAGACTAGCAACATAGATATAGAGCATAAAAAGATAGAGAGACAGGGAGTCTCAGGCAGAGGATGCAGGACTAGCAGGCCGATCTCTTTGGATTTCCCTGGATAAGTCAGCAAGTGCGCCATGATCTCTGCACAGAAGGAAGCAATGTCAGCTCTAATGGCGAGCAGGGTCTCCTCCAAAACTTGCATTTATGCTTTAAGGCTAGCTATTTGATTAAGAGCCTCAGATGCAGGTGGAGCAGAAGAATGGCCAGTCTGAGCTTGGGAGGACTCTGCAGGCTCCTGTGTCCAAACATACTTTTGTTTAGTCATGTCCTACAAAAAGGAAGGTGAAACTTGCAATGGGAGTTAGTGCTAAAATAAAGAATTGAAAGCACAACATAGAGACATGCATGTCAAATAAGATAGATAAAATAGGTAGATAACATGAATTTATGCAAGTGACAGGATATGAAGCATGCTAAACAATGTAAGTATGAAATGCATCCAATGTGGAATATCACAAGCATTGGGCATAATACATGATGAATGAAGTGTGTATGAAATCTGTGAAATTCGATCGATCACAAAAAAATGTGAGATTGATCTCAAAACTTCGATCGATCTGAGAAATTTAAAAAACTGAGTTCAATCGATCTCTCAAGATCGATCTGAGATAGAAGTTTGATCGATCGAACTGTACGAAGATGAAAACTGAAAGGTCACAGATCTATGACGTGGATGGCACGGGGCCTTCACGACATGGTCGTGGGCTCATCAACACAACAAATCATCAATTCTACTCACATAGCATGGCCCATACTCCTACAAATCGAATCAAAACTCACAAATATATACACAACATATATACACATATATAAACATAATGTTTCAAGCTTCATCAATGGTGGATTTCATCATCAATATATCATGGATTCAATATTTAAAACATGTATTTAACAATTTGAAGCTTGAAATCAAAGATAGGGTTCGGATCTTACCCAAAATCGAGGAGAGAAGATGAGATGCGAAGAGGGTGATGGAAACTCAGATCCGAAAGGAGAGAGAAGAGAGAGAGAGAATCGAAGCTCATAGGATCTTGCCGGAGATGATGATGAAGATGGGGCATAGTGGCGATGGGAGTGAAGGATTGAGGGTTTGGAAAAGGGTTGGATCGATCTAATGAATCGATCGTTAGACCCTCAGGGTCTATTTTTAAAAATATTTCCCGATTAGTTCGATCGATCGAAATGAGATTTTCGATTGATCGAACTTTGATGGTCTCTCTTCAAAGTGTTTTTGGAATTTTTTGAAATTTTTGAAAAATTAAAACTAAAATTAAAAATTAAAAATTAAAATTGAAAAATAGAAAATAGTTTTGGATTTGGGTGAAAAATAAAATCTTTTTGGAATTTTTAATTTTTTTTTTTATAAAAAAAATGGAAGAAAATAAAATAAATATTTTTGGATTTTTGAAAATTAAAAAGTCAAATAAAGTCAAACAAAAGTCAAAAAAAAAAGAATTGAAGAACTGAGATCGATCTGAACAAAATGTTCGATCGATCAGACAGAGAGCAAAAATATGCAGGTTTTTGGTTCAAAAATTTGGCTAAGTGTTTGAACATACAGATCGATCGAACTTTGAAGTTGGATCGATCGAAAAACTTCAGATCGATCTTGAAATGTTTTCGATCGATGAGACAGAGAGCTGAAATATGCAGGTTGATGCAGGCTCAAAATTTTCTAAGTGTTGGAGCACAAGATCGATCGAAGGTCTTCTGATCGATCTGAGAATAGGTTTGAACGATGGGACAGAGAGGTGATTTGGATGTAGGTGGATGCAGATCAAAATTATTTTTCTAAATGTTGGATGCAGGTGGAAGTTTAATCGATCGAACTCTCATTTGAGATCGATCGAACTTATACAAAATGCTCAATCACAACACAAAATTCATGCAATCCTAATCACAGTTCCTAGCAATGCATATGAAACAAAAATAAGTATCTAGACTTCGCAAGAAATGAAATTTAAGATAGAAATGAGGGAGGAATAGGGTTTTGACACCCTACGAAATGTTTTGCTAGTCTTTAACGTCTCTCGCAAGACGTTGGGCTCTTTTAGCCCGGATCAAAGATCTTGTTATGCATCCCCTCCTTGTTGGGGTGATAGATGCTTTGAACTCCACCCAACAAATGGTTATTTGAAGAACTTGTTGGATTAAGTTCAAAAGAAGCTTTTGGTCCCTTGTTAATGCAATTTTTTATGTTTTCATACACCGGGTCAACTAGATGTGCAGGTTCCAAATGTCTTTGAAAGACTTGACCCTCTATGTAAGGTTTCAACCTCTGTCCATTAACCTTAAAAATGTTTCCCTTCTTCAAATTTCTAATTTCAACCGCCCCATGAGGTGCAACAGAGATGATTTCATAAAGAACCTCCCATTTAGTTCTCAATTTCCCAGGAAAGAGCTTTAGTCTAGAGTTGAAAAGCCAAGCTTTTTGACCAGGTTCCAAAGACTTTTTCACAATATGCTTATCATGAAAGGCTTTGGTTCTTTCTTTGTAAAGTTTGGCATTATTATAAGCATTATGTCTCAATTCTTCTAACTCACTCAATTGAAGTAGCCTATTCTCTCCGGCTTTATCAAGGTCAAAATTGAGCTTTTTAACCGCCCACAAGGCTTTATGTTCTAACTCAACCAGAAGATGGCAAGGCTTTCCATATATAAGCCTATAAGGAGACATGCCAATGGGAGTCTTATATGCTGTCCGATAAGCCCACAAAGCATCATTTAGCTTCCTTAACCAATCCTTTCGGGTGGTGTTAACCATTTTCTCAAGAATATGATTAAATTCCCGGTTAGACACTTTAACTTGTCCACTTGTTTGAGGATGATAGGGAGTGGCTACCTTATGAGTGACGGAGTATTTAAGAAATAAATGTCTTAGGAATTGATTGCAAAAATGTTTTCCTCCATCACTTATTATAGCCCTTGGCATACCAAAACAAGCAAAGATATTGGATTTAATGAATTGAATGACCACGGAGTGGTCATTTGTTTTGGTAGCACATGCTTCCACCCACTTGGAAACATAATCAACGGCAAGAAGAATGTATTGAAAACCATAGGACATAGGAAATGGACCCATAAAATTAATGCCCCATATATCAAAGATCACAACAACAAGTATATTGGTCAAGGGCATCGTATCTCTTCTAGACATTGTTCACATCTTTTGACATCTCTCACATGATTTGCAAAAGTTGTAGGCATCTCTATGAATAGTGGGCCAAAATAGCCCACTTTGAAGAACCTTCAAGGCGGTCTTCTTTGCACTAAAACGCCCACCACATGCAAGAGTGTGACAAAACACTAGGACGCTTGGAATTTCACTCTCCGGAATGCATCTCCTCACAATTTGATCCGGACAATATCGGTACAAGACAGGGTCTTCCCAATAGTAATTCCGGATGTTGGCAAAGAAACAATTTTTTTCATTCTTTTACCAATAAGTTGGTAGCTTGCCTACTGCCAAATAATTCACAATGTCGACAAAAGAGTCACAAATTGGTAAACTAGGGAAAGGCTCTATCGATAACCTAGAAAGATGATTGGTAACCACATTTTCGGTGCCTTTCTTGTCCTTGATTTCAAAATTGAATTCCTGAAGAAGCAAAATCCATCTAATTAACCTAGGTTTTGTTTCCCTTTTTGTCAATAGATGACTCAAGGCGGCATGATCAGAATAAATAATAGCCTTAGACCCTAAGAGATAGGAACGAAATTTATCAAGAGCATACATTACAGCAAGTAATTCTTTCTCGGTAGTGGAGTAATTCAATTAAGCTCCCGTGAAAGTTTTACTTGCATAGTATATAGCACATGAAAGCTCCCCCACTCTTTGTCCCAAAACTTCTCACATGGCATAATCATAAGCATCACACATGATTTCAAATGGCAATGACCAATTAGGAGGTTGCATGATAGGAGCGGATGATAATAATTCACGTAATTTATGAAAAGCGTCTAAGCATGCTTGGTCAAAGACAAAAGGAGTTTCCTTGGCAAGAAGATTGCATAAGGGTTGAGCAATTTTGCTAAAGTCTTTGATAAAACGGCGGTAAAAGCTAGCATGGCCTAGAAATGAGCAAACCTCTCTCACCGTTGAAGGTGGAGGCAATTCAGAAATAAGCTCAACCTTCGCTTTATCTACCTCTATTCCTCTCCTTGAGATAACATGACCTAAAACAATACCCTCTTGAACCATGAAATGACTCTTTTCCTAGCTAAGTACAAGGTTGGTTTCACGACATCTCTTAAACACTAGATCTAAATTTTTGAGGCATGCATTAAATGAAGACCCAAAAACAGAAAAATCATCTATAAAAACCTCTAAATACTCTTCCACCATATCCTAGAAAATTGAAATCATACACCTTTGGAATGTGGCGGGTGCATTGCACAAACTAAAAGGCATCCGTCTATAAGCAAATATGCCGAATGGACATGTAAAGGTGGTTTTCTCTTGGTCTAATGAGTTGAGGGCTACTTGATTGTACCCCGAATAGCCATTAAGGAAGTAATAATATTGTTGCCCAGCCAATCTCTCTAGAATTTGATCAATGAATGGCAAGGGAAAGTGATCATTTCTAGTGGCGGCATTCAATTTGCGGTAATCAATGCATACACGCTATGAATTGGTGGTATGCTTAGAGATTTCCTCACCCTTTGCATTCTCAACCACCGTAATCCCCGATTTTTTGGGAACTACTTGAGTTAGACTCACCCATTTGCTATCGGAGATTAGGTAAATGATTCCAGCATCTAAGAGTTTGTCAACTTCCTTCTTAACTACCTCCTTCATGTTTGGATTAAGTCTCCTTTGGGCATCCCTAAAGGGTTTTGCATCATCTTCCATAAGTATGTGATGTATACAAATAGAAGGGTCAATTCCCTTAAGATCCGCCACACTCCATCCTATGGCTTCCTTATTTTCCTTAAGCACACTTAAGAAAGCATCTTCTTAGTCTTTTTCAAGATTTGAAGAAATGATAACCGAAAGAGTCTCTTTTGGTCCTAATAAAGCATACTTGAGATTGGAATGTAGAGTTTTAAGCTCAAGAATTGGTGGAGAGACTAAAGATGAGACCAGTGGAGTGCTAGAGAGTGAAGAAAGAGGTTCTATTGGAGTTTTCCAAGATGGAAAAT